GTTTAGAATTAAAATAAAACTCGTTTTTATTTCTATATTTATGATAAATTATTTATATAATCAGAATTAAAGATAAACGAAACGAATAGTCTGGATTTCGAGTATAGAAATTCTTTGACAATTGTAAATTTCCTTTTTAGTTTTTTTTCTTATTATCGGATATTGAACAATTACGTTGATAACTTAATTATATAAAAAAAGCATTTGTTAAAATTCATCCAAGTGTTAATGGAAACTCTTATTCATTAATTATCATATTTTGAATTTAGAAATAAAGAACAAAATGCGAACATTAATTGATTATTTTAAATCATTTTTGTCAATTTTATCGATTTGATCTTGAACAAAGATCATCATCAACAATAACATCAAATGATAATCATTGTCAATTATATTTAGATTGTTTCTCTGAAATATGTTTACATTTAGATAAAAAAATCTCTTTATGGTTAAGAATTTCTTCATCTTGTTAATTAATCAAATGGTATTATTGATCAATCTAGAAATTCTGTTGAAGCCAATGCATCACAAGTTAAAACATATTTAGTTACCTTTATTAATTGGTTTATCATGTCGGCATGAACAAATTCAAATGAAACATTGGATTAAGTTTAATTCCAATGTTTACATTAAATTCAACAATTAACAACAACTGGTAAACGTTGCTGTGTTTAGCTGAAGATCTTTTACATTCATTAACTGAATATGAACAAGTTCCTAAAACAAAATTTATCATCTTAGAAATCAAACCTTTGTTGGATTTCTCGTCAAGGTTAGAAAGATTTTCTAAATAAAATTTTACCTATTTATAGATTTAGAAAAAAACGTTCATATTCAACCATATGAAGGTAAAAGACGAAAAACATCTGGTTATGCCAGTGTAACACATTTTAATATAATAGATATTCAATGTCATAGATCAGCTATTAAACAAGCACGATCAAGAGATGAATCGGAATCAGCTTTATTACAAAATGCAAATACACCTTCTAATGGGTTATTAACATTATCGGAACGTGATGTTGCTCAAGCACAATTTACAAGAGCATTTCTAAGGTTTGATTTTGAGAATTCGTTTTTGTTTTTTCGTATGTGATTAAAATTATTTCCTAACGAGGCAACGTCTCCAACATAAACTAAAACAAAATAGATCTTAATCAGTCTA